ATTACACCCCACGGTCCATTTACCTGGAAAGCTGCGGAGAGCATCTTCATTTTCCAGAATGCCTCTCTGTTTGGTCGCCTGCAGCTCACTTTTGGATTTCCAAACCAGCTTTACCATCCTGATCATCTCTGGCAAGTCCCAGGGCAGCGGCCCCTGCTGGCACCCCGGCCGGCTTCCCGGGGAGGAGGGCAGCACACCTTCTGGGCCTTTCCACCTCCTGCCTAGCTCTGCTGGGTGGAAATAGCGCTCTAGCACAGGCATTCTGCCTTGTGCCCCAGAAGAGGAGGTAGTGGTGCTGCTGCTGCTGCTGTTTCTGCTTCTGCTTCTGCTGTTGCTGCTGCTGCAGCTGCTGCTGCTCCCACAGGGGAAATTCTTCCCAGGCAGCGAGAGGCAAACCCCCGTAAGATCCTCTCCAGCTTCAGAAAGACAAGCCTCCTCCAGCCTGGCACAACCTCCCTGTCTCTCCAGGCCCTCCACAAACACTGCCGACGAGAGTGATCCACTTCCCTAGGTTTCTCACTGGTGAGAAACTGTTACTGTACTCCTTCCTTAGAGATAGAATGCATTTTTTCCCCTCCTCTTTCTGGCACCGAGTTCACAGCACTTAATTAATCCCAGGCTACAGCTGGAACGACAGCGAGAGAAAAAAAACAACCCATCTAAGTTCTAGCATTTGCTTTTCCTCTTCTTTTTTCTGATTTATTTGTTCTGAATTATCTTTTGGTGCTTGTCAAAGTTTGTCAAATGGCTTAGGTCTTAAGGACTTCAGGCAAAGGAGCGGGGCTTCCCCTTTGCTAACCTCACCCAAGGATTCCCGCCTTGCCTTGCCGGAGGCCAGTTTATCTGGAGGTGTCAGGTGAGGAGTCACCCCTATGGTGCAGGCTCAAGCCCTGCAAGCCCCAAGGAGTTCTAAAACAAACAAACAAACAACAACAACAACAAAAACAAAAACGGGAAGCTGCTCTGCAGAACCAATCTGCAACTACTTCTCTCTGGAAGGCCTGGCGGGGGACTGGGGACCCATGGCCCAGTCACCAAGACCAGTGCTGGGATGGGCTTGGTGGATCCTCAGTGCCTCCATTTGATCCCTCCCTCCTGTGTCACTTGGTTCTCAGCAAACCTAACTGGGTTATGACCTATTAGTCAAATCCCTTCATAACCTCAGCTGCCCTTCAGCTGGAAGGGAAATAACATTGAATCACATTCCACAGCTAACTCCGAAAGATGCGAATTAGGGAAGCATCAACATCTTCATGCATACGGCAGTGGCCTGCATAGCCTGGACATGTGGCTCAGTGCCGTTCAAAACCCATTTTCAAAGGAACAATAATTTTAAAGGATGTTCACAGGGGGCATAAATGGCAGTGAAAGAAAGAAAAGAGGGTTAACGATTCACCTTCTTCAGGGAGAACACTGTTGACTTATTATGTGGGCCACTGACTACTGTGTCTCCGACCTGAATTGAGGGCAACCTCAATTGTGGGCCATGCCGCTTGTTCCTTGTCTCAGAGATGGAGGTGCCAACTCTGAAAGTAAGAACCAATTCGACAAAAGACGATGCCCCCTGCAGCTTATGTGAAAGGCTCTGGACAGAAATGAAAGTGCGTGGTTTTGTATTGGGTTTGTAGGAACAATTTGAACTTGTACACTCAAGTGCACAGCCCCTGTTTTCCTGGAGGACATTGTAACAATCCCGTCTTCCTCTCCTCCTCACGTCTCCACGTTGCGAAGTACTTTATTTTGCTTGGCATGCCATTTTGCTGATGTATAATCTGTTGTTTCTGCTCTACATTCCTTTCAAGGCTGGTTTATCACACAATTTTTTGATATTTCTTCATGGGAGAGAGGAGGAAACTTGGGGAAGAGGAGAAAGATCACTGTAAAGTCTGTTTTATTTTCATTGCTCCCATCTCATTTCTTTTTTAAAGTTGAAACCAGCAAAGACAACTGTAATTTTATTGTTATTATTTCTCTAAACCTATGGTTAATAGGTTTCCATACTGGATTAAGTGACTTTTCTTTTTTTCTAGATGGAAAAGTATCCTGGCAAACATATTCTCTTTTCTAACATATTCTCTTTTCTAAGGTGAAGGAGGGTCAAGAGGATATAAAACAATAATAAAGACATTGAAGACACTGCTTTTGGTGAATTTTGTTATTGAAATATTGATCAAGCAGCTCTTTCTATAACAACCAGGTATTCACACAACACAATTGGGAATAATCAATGGTCTACTTGATTAGAAAGATGTGCCCTTCCTTATTTCCCTCTCTGGGAAGAGATGAAAGGATTCAAGCATCAGTTTGACAGTTCCACTACTTTGACAGCCTGTCCAGTCCTTCTCTTACCCTTCCATCAGGCTGGGGCATCAAGGCTCTCTAGGATTGAGATGATTTTATTTAATAAGCACATGCAGACTGTTTCGCTTCATTATCGTATTTCCTGAATAATGTCTTAAACTCACTCCTCAGTAACAAACTTCCTTGACATAACAACTGAAGAGTTTCCTAAGTGTTTGACTATTTTTATTTTTGTTCGGTTATTTTGCAATAGTACTTAGCATCAGGATATCCTGACCCTTGGAACAAAGGGGTTAAGAACAAAGAAAACAAATATATGATATAATATATCACATACACTAATATACTAAGAATACAACACTTCATTGTTCATTTCTTCAAGAATCACTTTTTAAAAAAATCCAAGGATATAAATTTCCATTGTATCCTCTGTATTGTTTTACCTAGTTCCTTGTAAAAATATCTTAGAGAAATCACAAAATGTTGGATCACTGAGCATGAATACTTCCTAGTGGAGATGAGTCAGGGCCAAGCAACCACCATTTCAGATTTTCATTCCCAAGGAGGAACCCACTTCATTTGAAGGTTTGAAAACTGAAAATATTTGTATAATTAAAAAAAAATTTCCCCCAATATGGGATTATTTTCATCCCAGAGTCGAAGTGCAAAAATACCACAAGAAAGGTCGTTCTCATGGTATTTCTGGCTCATGTAGAAACAGGAAGTACAGGAAATCTTGCGAGAAAGCTTGGCTCAGGAAATTTTTGGCTCAATTGCAGGTTCAAGAGATTGGGACAAATTGATGTGAGGCTAGTACTTATTGGACTAAAACCTCTCTACCATGTGAATTATCTGAAAGGAGGTTTTGTTACATTTCATAGCTAGCATTTCATAGGCTGAGATCTCTTTTGTTTTTCAGATAGTTGCTTTAGAAGAGCCTGCCTGTAAACCTATGATTTTTCATTACTCAGTGGACATCATTCACCTTGATATGGAATCTGCAGCTAGAAGTTTGGATCACTGAGGGTGGGGAAAGGTTGGGGTTGTTTCTGTGACCAGAGGAATCATGGAACAGAGAAGACCCATCTAGGTAACTTCTGAGGATTCTTACATATGTTAATATCAGTAATTAACATGCTACAGACAGGACATTTTAAGGTAGACTTTCAAAATAACCAAGTTCTTTTTCAGGCATTGTGAATCCACCCAACGCAATGATAACTAACAAAATCAAAACAGCTTGCCCCAGTGAACAATGGACTCCTAATTGTGTCAAAAAGACTGCTCTGCTGTTCCTGGAAGTTCTGCCACTTGTTGAGGGTGTGATAGCTTCAAGGCTACTTTGAGAAGCTGGGGTGCTGGCTGCACAGGCCCTGAGGGCCTAGGGTGGCAGAGGGGTGGTTGAAGTGCACTCCAAGGCATCTGGAGATGATGTTTTTACTGATAACGAGCAGGTGATTGAGTTGGAGAGGGAGGTCATGATAGCTGCACAGAAGGTACTGGACCCATACAATATACTAGCCCCGAAGGCCGCTTCAGGCACCAGCGAGGACCTTAAGTTAGCCCCCCTCCTTCACCAGCAGTGGGCAACTTCTGTGAAGAGAATAGCAGTGCTATCATCTGGTTTTGGCTGCACAAAGGTGAGACCCAGCTATGTCTTGACTGTGGAAACTATTACAAGCTGCCCCACCAGCTGGTCCACTGATCCCCTGCAGTTGATAAAGACTAGCCATTGGATTGGCTCCTTCTTCAAAGAAATAAAAAGACTTTGTTGTGTGGTTTGAGCTCTGAAGGAATTGATAACCCCAATACGAATGTATACAACCAAGAAAAGCGTCAAAGACATAGTTGATTTAGAACCTGGGATGTTGAAGAACTTTTGGTGTTCTGAGGGCTGTGTAAAAATCCTGTAGACTATGGGTGCTCTAGCAACTAGGCAGATAAGCACTTACTATACATGATTTGTAAAATAAGGCATTTATAATGTTAAATATTTCTAATAATTCTAGAGGATGTACTTTAAAAAATGGAAACTTAGAAACATATATCCTTTGTCATTTTCTTTCATTTTGAGTTTATTAATAGATTCTTACAAAACAAAAAGTTTGATGAAAATCTTCTCCCTCAGATATTTTGGAATTGTTTTACACCCTACTGCCCCTCATCTGTGATCTATCTTCTAGAAAAAAAATGCAAACTATGGAGGGAGTTTATTTATTTTTTTTGTCCTGAACTTTCCTCTCCATCAGTTTAAGTATGGATGTGTAAACACACACCAAACACACACAGACTCACTCACTCTCCCTCTCTCTCTCTGCCACTCTGCTTTTACAAATGCAATTCAAAAAAAATTCAAAATCATCAGGGAAGGAAAAACAGGTCTTTCAACTTTGCTTTATGCAGTCTAAGTAGAAGAAGCTCAAACAATTTACAGTATCCTTTACGAGACACAGAAATATGATAACTGTGGCCTTCGCTAATCTCAATAAATGCCAGCAAGTAGGAAAAAGGACTTGTCTATAGACTGACCCTACAAGGCAGCACATACTTCCATCATCATGGGGGAAGGGAGAAAGCATGTGGGGCGAGATGAGGAAAGACAGGTGGGGCAAAGGAAGGGGTTGAACTGACAGATAAGTAGTTTGCTTTCAGAACAGATGTCTAAACCAAACCCAATCATTTTCTTTTTTACTCTGCAGATGAATATTAACTATGGGAGCAACGGCAGAAGGGAAAAACTCCTGTGCTAGTCTTTGGATCGATTTTCAGGTACTGGGGAACTGCCTGGCCTCTTTTGCCTTAATTCTAGTTTTCAGAGTGAGTGACTGCTCCCTCCTTTACTTATTCATTTATTTTTGTACGTTTTAAGAGAGAAACTAGGATTTCAGCTAGCATCACACTCTATCCTGGCTCTTAAAGATCTTAGCTAATGCTAAGTTTACTGTCTCTGTGAATTTCCCAATAAAAATGGCTCCAGTCAAACAAAGGTTGAGAACAACATGGCAGGAAGACTTGATTTTCTCTACTCAGCTCCTGCTTGCTGATGAATGCAGTCTCCTATTCTGTCGCATTACTGAAGCCTGGCACCCTCTGACGGTAGCCTTTCTAGGATTTCAGGACTTATTTCTGACTGTAAAAGATCATAGTGGTGGTAGAGTACACTTTTCAGAATTTTACATTTGAGTGTGTCAACTTCTTAGAAAACAGCTACAACAAGGAAATCTCTAAAGTAACTCTCTGAGGCTACTTAGCTGAGAGTTACAAAAACTGGGTTTTGATCTGTACTCACCACTGAGCTTTGGCCCAAATTTGGGGCCTTATCTATAAATGGCTATGATAGCAATAAACATTTTATCTATCACACTGGATTCTTAAAAGGATTAAATTAGACTAGAATGTCAGTTATTTTTAAACTGTAATGTGCTATAAAAATTTAATATTGTTATTTTTAAGCTGTAGATATCATAGTTGACAATTTCATTAAACACAAATTTTGGCTATCCTTTCCTGAAATCTGTTAGAAAGCTGGAAAATCAAGCCCATCCACCCCTGAAGTAGGTCTTACTTCGGAAATTTGGGTTCCCCAATGAGAATGCAGAAGTAAAGGAAATTGAAGGCAGGGCTGTTGAATAGAGGGTATTGGGGAGTGACCTGTGGAAGAAGACAGTGAGAGATTTGATGGTAGCAAGGTTCTTAAGGTAGGCCTGGTAAAAGTAAGAGTGAGAATAGACAGATATAGAGTGATATATGTGCTCAATAAGATAAATATTCTTTGTAAGTGCATTTTGGAGGGATAAAAGCCCAGGAATCCTGTCTAGGGTCTCATCCCACATGATCTTCACCATGTGTTATTTAGTGTTCTAGTTAATACTATATAGGTTCTTTTAATAGGGAATTTTGGTTTTAGTCCAGAGTGACTGAACACAAAATATGTTTGATGTTCATGAGCTGTGCAGCTTTGTGTCATATGCTGTAGTAGGGAACATGTGTCTTCAGGCCCCCTACTGGCCTCATTTCCCTAGACAAATTGGTGACGGCCTCAATGTTTTGTTTGGGGGGGGGTCTTTATTTCTCAAATATGTTCATAATTTGTTTGCTCCTAACTGACCTCTGTTTAATTTGCAAGTGTGCTTAAAAGAACTGTAGTGTGCAGAATCAAATGCGATGTTTAAAAAGTGGCCTGTACAGTCTGAAATATGGTAGAAATTCTTTTAAATAAGATGCATAAATTCTGAACGCTCTCAAGAATTTGACCAGGTTAAGAAGATCTCAAGGAGACTGGAGGAGAGCTTATCCAGACATTCTCAAAAAACTGCTGGAAAATGCCTGAGGGTCCTTTCTTAATCTAATAAACTAAACCACTAATAAGATATAGAAAGATTTTTTATATAAATGACATAACAAAAGGAAAGTGAGAAAATGATGAGGAATCAAGCCTTCTAACAGGATTTCTTTTTGTCCTTGACATTCATTTGTGTTCATATTTATGGAGTTCAAAGTCAATTTGGAAAAAGGAAATTTCACCTGCTCTGTGCATATTGTGTGTGATCCTGTTGCCTCTTCCACTTAATTTTTATTTTCCCTCTTGCACTTATTACCTCCTGGTAATTATGAATTACATAGAATATCTATGTCAAATGGTATCTCTTAGAGGCTATTCTAGATCAAGGCTTCTCAAATATTAATGTGCATTTGAATAACCTGGGGATTCCATTAAAATGTAGATTTCTGATTTCAGAAGTCAGGCAGGGACCTGAGACTCTGCATTCCTAACAAGTTTCCTGGGGATGACAAGGTTGTTGGTCATGACCACACTTTGAGTAGCAAGGCTAGAGTATAACCATGTAGGAATTATTTTATGTCTGTTCCATATTAGTTATTTACAAAAGAAAACACAGCAACCATCCCAGTCTTTCCAGATACACCTATTAGGACTTCTAAAAACATTCACGCTGGCTCAGGCCAAATACTCTCAATGGAAAGAAGAAACCAGAACTGCTGTGTTAGAACAAGGGCTGTGTCCAGGGACATTGAACCACAGCTTGTCAATTTTGTTTTATTCTTCATTTCCCTTTATGGGTTAACTGTAAGGATAAGGTTGACTATCAACTATAAGCCAGTGCAATAAATATATGTGATGGATTCTTAAAGAATTTCATAAACAAATATTATTTTTGACAGTCTTTTCTCATCAAATGTCAAATGCAATTTAGTCAGGCCAGTTTCTCCACGACTCTGTCTTTCCAGCATTTTTTTGCACCCCTCCTATTTTCAGAATGGTTGGAATGCAGGCAAGGCTCTGAGTCTTTGATCTCCATCATCAGTGATACTTTCACCAAGACCTGCTCTTTCATTTGGTTTATTAAAGGTTTATATAAAGTGGTCTTTCCATGAAGCCTGGTAATCTTTCCCACTGTGATATTCCAGGCATGAGTGAATGGTGACCAGATGATTCCCTAAAGAAATAAAGATGAAAAAAAGGAAGCAGGCATCCATGGTGCTATAGCCAGTGGCTAATGGTGCTGCTGATTCAGAGAAATATACTGCAATGTCAGTCTCAGCGAAACACACACAACACACGTGCGCGCGCGCACACACACACACCCACACACACACACACACAACACAAAAATTGAATCAAGTAAACTCTGCAATAGGCTGCATTCTTTAACAGGTATCCCCTGGAATTCATGCATTCACAGGGACAATATTCATGGCAAAATGATGCCAGAAGCAAGAGACATGTGAAATCAGCTGGAAGACCAGGGTAACCAAGAGCATGGGGCTAGAATATTACCAGATTTTTATGATTAAAAATTTGTACAGTTAACTGAACAAGAACGCTTAGAATAAATGAAAGCATCTGCTGGTAATTGGAAACACTGTATTATTTTTTCCATTGTCTTTCCTGATTCTTTCTAAGGCTAAGTGCTTTGCTATGGTTATGAAGACCGATACTTCCTGATATCTATAATCCAGGGGAGTAACTAAACAATGAGAAAGAGAAAGTTGGAAGATATGTATTAAAAACTAGTCTACAGAATGTTTTATTATTTCTGGTAATTTTAGAAGTTGTTTTCCCCTGTAATGGCAGGAGAATTTAGAGTGAAAATTAAAGGGATGGCCATTTAACATAGAGTATGTATACAATACATTCTTTGCATGGTACAGTACGGGGATTCTTACTGAACCCTTTTTGTTTGATATGCAGTTGCTAGAAGAATAATTGTACCATAATCAATGAAAAAAAGCCCAGCATACTAGAGTACTTGACAACTTTGACATGTGTATAAGATCTTTATTATCCAAAGATTCTCTAAGAATTTCACTTTGGGTTTTTTTTAATCCCACATTGATATTTTAACTAAAGTTTCCTCCTTCTATTTTGTAAATTACTTAAAAATGATTGCATATCTTTCTATCTATAGGATATGGATACTAACTGCTCCATTTTCTTATTTGGACTTCTGGGTCTATCTACTCTTTGTCTTCCGTGATCTTCCTGGATGCATGTTGTGGTCTCCTGGTAAGATTTCTTGCATTCCCTGTTTTCTGAGATATCTTTACATTCTTTTGTCCACTAAGGTGCAAGGTAAAATACACCTGTCTTTGACTTGCATATGTTCATATACCCTGCTGATTTTATGTTTGTGTGTCTCAATTAGAATATGGGCTTTTAAAAATGCCTTTTCAATGCTGTTATTACTTTTTTTTTCCTGCTTTCAAACTTTGAAGAGGCAACTGATGAGGCTACTATTAAATTGCGTTTTTCAGGTCTCTCATTAACCATTGAAAACTTCAGTTAAGTCTTATTTACCTTTAAAAGTTATGATATTCTGGATTGAACATAATTTATAATCACGTCATTTTCAAATATGTAACGTATGAAAAGTAATGGCAATATTAATATTAATTTGATGCAAAGAGAGTTATCACTCATAAAAATAACTCAAATCCCTTTCTTGGGCATTCAGCACTTTCAAAAACAGGCTCCCACTCACCTAGTCCTGCAAATGCATTCAAAGTTACATCAAACACACAAAATTTCTGTGGAAGTCATACTGTTGCACAAACATGTCAGCTGCATCTGATATTACATTTGGTAGGCAGAAGAATGGCCTCCCAAAAGGGCCCACATCCTGGTCCTTGGAACCTGTGAATATGTTAAGTTACATGGCAAAGGAGATTAAGGTAGAAGATGGAGTTAAGATTGCTATTCAGCCATCATTAAAATACAGAGAATATCTGAATTATCTGGATGAGACCAAAATAATCACAAGTGTCCTTAAATGTCGAAAAGGGAGGCAGAAGAGTCAATGTCAGAGTGAGGTGATGTGAGAAAGATTCAGCATTCATTCAGCTGGTCACTGCTGACTTTGAAGATGGAAAGGGGCCTTGGGCCAAGGAATGCGAGGAGACCCTTAAAGATGAAAAAGGCAGGAAAAAAGATTCTCCCTTAGAGCCTCCAGAAAGAAATACAGACCTCCAGACATCTTGACTTTAGCCCAGTGGAATCCATTTCATACTTCTGACCTCCAGAACTGTAAGATAATGAATTTGTGTTTTTTTAAGCCTCTAAATTTGTGGTGATTTGTTGTAACAGCAATAGGAAATGAATGTATTATGTTACTGCTTACGTGGTCCTTCTTCTTGGGATAGATTTTTCCATTTGTCTAATCCAAATAAAATCCTGTGTTTTTTTCATGAAGTTTTTGTGGCCCACCTTAAAGCTGACTCTTTTATTTAAACAAAGCAGCACCTCTTATCCATTTTTGTTATCTGGGACGTAACTTCATTTACATCACTACTTGTCTTTGATGCTCTGGCCTGTCCTCTAATTCGGATTGCAGAGGCCATTGAATCATACTTTGTAACTTAAAACTCAGTGCTGCACCCTTCATTAATTCATTAATTCATTTAACATGCATTTGTTAAGTGGTGAATTGTGCCTGCCCTATGCTAAGTGCTTGATATACAAAAACATGCTCCCTTCCCTTAAAATTGTTTACAAGTTTGGTGGAGAGACAGAAACATGTACAACTAACTATAAAGCATGATGAACTTTGGTGCTATAATATAAATATAGTTGCAATAAATCCAAATTAGTTTTTGTTATTAAAAATGACAGGCCAGGCATGATGGCTGACACTTGTAATCCCAGCACTTTGGGAGGCCGAGGCAGGCAGATCACCTGAGGTCAGGAGTTCGAGACCAGCTGGGTAACATGGTGAAACCCCATCTCTACTAAAAATATAACAATTAGCCAGGCATGGTAGTGTATGCCTACAGTCCCAGGTTCTCAGGAGGCTGAGGCAGGAGAATCACTTGAACCTAAGAGGCAGAGGTTACAGTGAGCCAGGATTGCACCACTGCACTCCAGCCTGGGTGACAGAGTAAGATTCTGTCTCAAAATAAATAAATAAACAAACAAACAAATAAATAAATAAAAATGATGCTAACCAATTTTTAAATTAATTCTTTTTTCATGTCTTGGCAACTAAAACAATGTCTTAGAAATTTCTACTTAACACTTAAAAAAATCAGAAATTATATGATATAGAGTTTGCTCATAGCCAGGAAAAATGGGTGGTTAATTATAGTTTTGCTGATTATTTGTATTTGATAGAATTTTTAAAAGTTTAGCTCTCGGGATTGTCAGACTTCAAGAACATTCTTACTACTTTCCTCAGGTGAGTTGTTACTGTGCTCCTAGCAAACTGGGAGCTTAAGAAAAGTGTTTTAATACAACAAAGCAAACAAAGAGGAATCACGGAATGTGAGAGTTTTAAGGGACTTCAGAGATAGACTATTTCCATTAAATCATATCTTAAGTCAGCTTTGACTGACTTAAGATACGATCTGTCTCACAAGGTGCCATAGACTGGTTGGCTTCAACAAAAGAAGTTCATTTCTTACAGTTCCAGAGGCTGGGAAGTTTGAGATCAGGGCACCAGCATGGTGAGATTCTGGTGAATGCCCTTTTCCTGGCTACCAGGTGGTTGTGTTCGTGCTGTATCTTCACATGGCGGGGGGGTGGGGGCGGAGAGAGAGAGAAAGAAAGCTCTCTGGTGTCTCTTTATATAAAGGTGCTAATCCCAATATGAGGGCTCTACCGTTATATCCATATTACTTCCCATAGGTCCCACCTCCAAATACCATCACATCGGGAGTTAGGGTACCAACACACGAATTTTGAAGGGACACATTCAGTCAATAGCAGATTATTTTCTAATATTGCTAATAATGAAGCATGATCCAGAAATAATAAGCTTCAGATTCCCATAGACCTGAGCCCAAGCACTTTCTTCGAATGCTTATGTACCAGATATAGTACTATTTCATATGCAATTCTATATTGAATCCTTACAAGAATCCTCCAAAAGGTAGGCATTATCATGATCTCCTATGAAAGTAATTTGTTCAAGGTGCCGATACTATCAGGCTTTAGAAGGGTGATAAGCATGCCTTCTTAGCACTCTGCTATACTGCCTGTGTGGTTGAAATGTTTTATAAAGCAGTAGAAACTGCTTGATTTACAGCTTATAATCTTATCTGGCTGCTAAATATTTAAGTCCAATGAATTGAAGAAAAGAAATAATAATTACAGCACCTTTCTCTATAGGTGTCCTTCATGGCTGGATTACACCTTGTATTCCTCAAGCTAAAGTCACATTTTCACTGCCACCAGGGTCATGACTGTGACCAGCAGGGTGGACTTTAGATCTTTGATCTTTGATCTTTGCCACAACCTTCATCAAAAAAAGTGCTGAAAAATGTCATCTTCTCTCAGCATGGCCAGAGGGGAAGAACATGTTGCACGTGGTTCATATGGACATTTAAAAAAATTAGATGAACATCTGATCTCCCTTCAGTAATGGGGCAGTTTCTTCAAATCAGATGCTAAACTCCTAAAATGACTTTATTTCTTATGAAAGGGGCTACAATGGAGGGTAATCAGGGTGGTCTTTATGTTGTTATGTAAACAAAATTGCAGCAGCAACTCCACTGTCTCTGACCTCGATTCTTGGGTCTGAAGAACCAGAGAATGATGATGTGAAATTGGTGAACGGAGCCCACAGATTTACCCAAATTGGACAGCTATTTTCCTTTTGGAGCCATTTAGCAAGGCTGCTTACAATATCACAGTGCCAGCTGCATCTGTACTTTCTAAACAGCTTGGCCAGAAATGGAAAAAAAAAAAAAAAAAAGAGCTTTAAATGTTTCTGAGTGCTAAGGAAATGACTTGGGTCACTTTCTGCATGGACAACAGAAATTCAAGTCTGGCCCCAGGCTGAGTTCTCTCCTGGGGTAGTAGATGCAGAGATGAAGGTAAAGACAGACCTGTGTCTGGTGGATCAGACGATTCTTCTACTTCCACGTGGTAAATCTTGTTACCTCATTATTTATATGTACTGTCCTTCTACTAGGGCAATGTAAACCTGTGCATGCCACATCCCCCTTACATATCTCCTTCTTTTCAAAGGTGTTGCAGAGTGAAAGAAAGGCTAGGCTCCCATGTAATATCCCTAAGGGAAGGAAAGTCTAAACCTTCAGGCAAATCATTCTGACATTTAGGATCTTCAACTACGTTTTGCATTTTTTGTTCCTGTCCCTAATAATAATTTATGAATAAGCCCACTTACTTATTTGAATAAGTATCTAAGAGTACTCTAAATCTTTGACCTACTAAAACAAGTCCAATGATTTCCTTTGTTTGTCTACACTTTTTAAACACATAATTAATGCATTTTATTTCATTCAGCATTTGTTTCTATGTTCACCTTACATGGAAATTTGGTATATTCTGTATTTCATTTTTATGATATTATAAGAGTGCAGGTATTAATTTCTTTGATATCTTCCTTAAAGCCCCTCCCGAAGTGGTCTAAATCACAGCGCATGCTGAATTAGCACTATTGTTTCTGTGGTAAAAATATGGAGAGAGTTCTGTGTGGGATAGCCACAGCATTTTTGAGAAACCTCAGAAGGGATATTTGGTGTTGCAAAATCAAGTACTCTTTTTGACCTAAACCATATTCTGGTTTTCTTGAAATTATTGAAGGGTTAGAACTTTTCCCCCATTAACATGGTTGGTAAAGTCACGTTTTCCCCCAAGAGCACAAACGTGCAAGTAAAACAGATCGGTCATAGAAATCTGCTTGAGATTTCAGAGACTGACGCAGTTGCTGCATCTTTCTTATCTCTAATATGTCGGTTAAACCTGCCACTTCCATCTTCAAGTTGGCATTTCTTGGGGGCCTTTTCTCTAGAACTTTTGGAGGCGGAGTTTTTCAGAAACAAAATACAACAAAACAAACTGCTTTTATTCTTGAACTAGGGTGTTGCATAATATTAGACTGGGTTCTTAGGACAACCGAGAGGATGAAACATGAGCACACATGGAAAGCATCTCTAACAAGGCCAGGTACAAAGTAGGCATTCCATAAAATCTAGCCACTGAAATCGCCTCCAAGTTATCTGCTCCCTTCTCTGTGGAGCTAGCATTGGTAACCCCATCAGCCTTAG